CCGCCTCCTGGAAACAGAAAGCCGAGGCCGAGTTGGTGAGAAAGGCCCCACTCAGGGTACCAGAGCCATAGTCATGTGTTAAAGGCAGGCGCCGGGCAGTCCAGCGGAGTCAGAGGAAGAGCTAGCTCTGCAGTCCCTCAGCCCTGCCTGGCCACTCGGACCCAAGCAGTGCCCAGGCCCTCCTGCCCTGCTGAAGTTTGCCTGTCCCTGAGGCCTCCAGGCCAGTCAAAAACTCATCCGTGCTCACAAGGAGAGAGGATCCCCCCAACCTGTGTCTTTATCTGTTCTTTTCATTGCTGTAATATCTTTTTTATACCCACGTGTCTATCTACAAACATAAACAATAATAGCAGACCCTTAAACAGAACTCCCATATGCCAGATGTAGTGCTAAGTGCTTTAGACATATTTATTCATTCATTCATATTTTGTTTATTTAAAATGGGATCATGTCTCTCTTTATTCACCCATTTTATTTTATTTAAATATATATTTTATTGAATTCAGAGAGGAATGGAGAGGAAGAGAGAGCTAAAAACATCAATGATGATAGAGAATCTTGATTGGCTGCCTCCTGCACGCCCCCACACAAGGGATTGAGCCCACAACCAGGATATGTACCCTTTGGCCTGAATCGAACCTGGGTTCCTTCAGCCCGCAGGCTGATGCTCTATCCACTGAGCCAAAACAGTTAGGGTGACATATTCATTCATTTAATCCTCCCAACAATCCGATATAGTAATTCATTTTATAGATGAGGAAACTAAGGCATACGGAGTTAAGTAATTTGCCTCAGAAAACCTAATACCAGAATCTGGTTGTCTTAACCTTAACCATCAAACTAGGAGACCATTACAGATATATATATATATATATATATATATATATATATATATGTGTGTGTGTGTGTGTGTGTGTGTGTGTGTGTATGTATATGTATATATACACATATATATACATATATATGCACACACATACAATACACATATATACCACATGTATCTGCACACACATAAATATATACATGCAGTCATGTGCTGCATAACATTTCAGTCAACAAGGGTTTGCCTATATAATAGTGGTATACCACATGTGTGTATTATTAAATTTTATTTATAATTTTTAAAAAATATATTTTATTGATTTTTTACAGAGAGGAAGGGAGAGGGATAGAGAGTCACAAACATTGATGAGAGAGAAACATTGATCAGCTGCTTTCTGTACACCCCCAGCTGGGGATGTGCCCGCAACCAAGGTACATGCCCTTGACCGGAATCGAACCTGGGCCCTTTCAGTCCGCAGGCCCACGCTCTATCCACTGAGCCAAACCGGTTTCAGCTAAATTTTATTTATAATTTTTAATATAAGTACATAACTATATACATTTCTTAACATGTTTTTAAATTTTCCTTTTTTATATATTTTTAAACATTTTTAATCCTCACCTGGGGATATGTTTTTTATTTTAGAAAGAGAAGAGGAAGAGAGAGAGAAAAAAAGAGAGAGAGAGAGAAACATCCATCAGTTGCCTCCTGTACATGCCCTGACTGGGGCACAAACCTGAAACCTAGGGATGTGCCCTGACCAGAAATCAAACCCACAACCCTTTGGCGCAAAGGACAACATTCCAACCAACTGAGCCACACTGGCCAGGGCCCTTTTATGTTTTTCTTTCCCCAACCATAAAATTTATGTTATCACCCTATTGTGTGATCGTACATATTTTTTATTTACAATTATACATGGACTTTTATATACTGATTCTCATGATCACATGTACATATATAAGGTTCCTTTTGTCGTTATTTTAAAATAGTGGATTATGTTAAATAAATATTTAATGTCCCTTTTCTTGCTTGGTGATACCTGGAAGCCCCCTGCAAGATCTAATTCACTGCTTTTAACCTCCCACATTAGTTCACCCATTAGTTCAGCACGTCCTTCCACCCGGCCCTCCCGCTTACTGTCATCTTCCAGTCCCATCCCCAAGGCCCGTGTTGCTTTAATCCGTTAGCAAATCTGATGGTAGACATTCCAGGCCCGGTGAGAGGAAAGGCCAGGGAGAAGGCAGCAAATGGCAGCTCTTGCCCCTCCTCTGGCTGGTGGCCAGCAGCCCTCAGCCCCCAGAGGCAGGAATGCTGACTGCGCTATTGTGAAATCATTTGTATATTGTGAAGTGCTTTGCATATGATGGAGTGATTTGCATATGGGGGGATATCTTAGAGATCCCAGATCTTCCTCCCCTTGCAAAGAAACCAACCCAGGGTTTCCACTTCAGAACTCAGGGAGGAGCAGAAGAGGGCACCCTGATTTACCTCTCTGATCTGCCTGGTGGGGTGAGGCAGCCAGGGATCTTTCAGAGGAAAGCTGATCCCACCTGGAAGGAGCCGAGAGTCTAGACATTGGAGTGTGAGGTGGTACAGGGCATCAAGTGTGCCCTCAGAGCCCCCAGGAGAGGAGATGGACTCAGGGTAGATGAAGGGAGCTATCATGGGATGCAGATGAGAGTCCGAGGCTTGGAGAACCCTACCCCATCACTATCTCTGCCCAAGTAAGTACCCACATGCCCCCTCCTGTACAGTCCTGGCTGATTCCCAGAGAAGGTTGCAAAGTGGAAACACCAAGACAGACTCCCACACTCTAGAAATGAGAAGTGCCGTCACATGCTCTGGGCTCAGGGACACCCAGCGGTTTGAATCCTGGCTCTGCCAGCTGTTCCATTGTTTCACCATGGGATAGAAGATTCCATAAGAATGCGAGTGGATGGCACATAGCAGGTGTTCAGTACATTGCAGTTATAATAATAATGCTATTGTTTGCTGCCCTCGTCTAACAAGTCAGGCCAATGTCCGCTAGGTGAGGATGAGCACCGAGCCGTCGCTTTCCTCAGGTTTGGAGCTCAGAGCAGCGGTGTCAAGCCACCGTGCACTGGACCCCAAAGGGTTACAATCTCTGGAGACAAAGGCCTGAGGTTCCCAGTGAAAAACCAAAGCACAAAAATAATTCGATGAGTAAGAATAAAATTCCCTCTTCTGAGGTTCCCGGGGCTAGGCCCCTCCCTGCGGCAGACACTTCCCCTTTCCCCGTGTTCATGGAGGAGCCAGGCCAGTGACTCAGAACCGAGCGCTGCAGCCACCCTCCCACCCGGGAGCCGGGCCGCCGGCCGCAGGCTGCGAGTCCAGCATGCGAGCACGCCCCCGTGCGGCCGCGGGGGGAACTGCAGCCCGAGAAGCAGCCGCGCGGGACCGACCCGCCAGCCCGGCCGCTCGCGATCCCCGCGAAGCCACAGCCCCGGCCCTGCCCAGCCCGCTGAGCGCCGTACCCGAGCCTCTCCCACTTCCGCCCGGCCCTCCCCGCCGCCCCTAGTCCGGCCCGAACGGAAGTGCGCTGGCCGCCGGGATCCCCCATGGCCGCGGAGCGGAAGTGCTCCCGGACAGCCACCCCCCCGCACACGGCGGCGCGCGGCGCCTCGGGTTCCGGACCGTTCCCGAGTGACGAGGCCGCGCGCCGGGGGCGGCTCCGGGCCGGGGGCCGGGCTGCGGGGCCGGGCGGGGCCGGCCCAGGGCGGGGCGCCGCGCCGCCGCTGGATGGCCGGGCCCGCCCGGAGCGCTGCCGCCGCCGCCGCAGCCCGGTGAGTGACCGCCCGGCTCCCGGGCCCGCGCCCGGGCGGGATGGACCCGGCGATCCCCCGGCCCCGGCCCGGGCCCGGACCTGGGCCCTCGCCCGGAGCCTGGAGTCCAACTTCCCGGGCTCCTCTGCACGTCGCTCCGCATCTCCGCCTCGCTCTCCCCTCCTGTCCCATCCGCTACCTCTGATCTCTTCCTCTCCACTCTCTTGCTTTCTTCTCTCCTTCTCCTCTCAGACTCCGCACCCCCTTCCCCTTTCCCAGACCCCATCCCTGCGCGACCCGCCTCGTCCCTGCGTGACCCGCCTCGGCCTCCAAGCCCGACCTGGCCCGGGCCTGCCTCTGGTCCCCAGTGGCGCCCCGCGGTGTCATCGGGGTCTCCCGTTCCGGCTTGGAGGTCCCGGGCCGGGCGTGGGCATCGTTTCTAGAGCAGCTGCTTCCCCTCCCTCCCACCTCTGGCAGCAGAGGAGGAAACTGAGGCAGGGACTCTGCAGCCAAGGTCACAGCCAGTACGAGGCAGGCAGACTGCATGGGCACCTCATGCCTGAGTTTCCAGGTGACTCACATTGGAGTCCTGTGAACCCGGCTGGGTGCATCCCTGCTGCCCGGTGCTGTGCTTCCTCCCTGCCAGGCACGTTTACCTGCATTATCGAGCTCATCTATGTGCACGACCCTGTGAGAGAGGCAACACTTATCTTCGTCCTATAGACAAGGATACTGAGGCTCAGAGAGGGGGCTCCAGGGGCTTGCCCACAAGCAGCTATACGTTGCCGCTGAGCCCAGCACCAAGTTAACCGCGGTGCTCTGAGCATCTGTGAGGCAGCTCCTGCTGCGGGATCCCTCCTCCTCAGCCCCACCTCCTGCCTGTGTCTGTGCCCCGTGGACATCGGGCTCATTTCCTAGGAAGAAGCTCTAAGGGTCCTGTCCTCGCTCGCTCCGTTGCTTGGTTTCACAACCGGCACCTCCGAAGGTCGCCTCCTCGAACTAGACAGTGCCAGCCTCAGTCCCTGGGGTGCCCTCGCCAGGGCACATCCCGGTAGCCAAACCTCCCCTGGCAGCCAAAGGCACCCGGCTGGGCCGGGCCTGCCCTGCCGGTGGCTGAGGGGAACCAGCCAGCGCCTCACCCTGTCATTAGGAAAAGTTTAGCCTCGGGCAGACCTGCTGACAGAGTCAGAAGCCGGAAGCCGGCTCAGGAGGAAAAAATGTGGTCCTTGGAGCGTGGAGGAGCGGAGCCCTTTGCTCTGGGCACCCACTCTTTGGAGCCACGGAGGCCCTGGGTCAGGCCGGAGGCCCTGGGTCATGCCGTATTGCACACGCAGGTGTTCAGCCACGGTGGCAGCTCATGCAAGTGGCCTCTGTGTTTTCCAGCTCCTGGCATGCCTGGATGTCCCTGCTCTGGCTGCGGCATGGCGGGCCTGAGGCTCCTGCTCTTCGCTGCCGTGGCCCTGCAGCTCCTGGGAGGGGCTGGGGGCTCCCAGCAGGCCCTCCGGAGCCGGGGGGCCGCAGCAGCCTGTCGCCTCGATAACAAGGAGAGTGAGTCGTGGGGAGCCCTGCTGAGTGGGGAGCGGCTGGACACCTGGATCTGCTCCCTCCTGGGCTCCCTGCTGGTGGGACTCAGCGGGGTCTTCCCGCTGCTGGTCATCCCCCTGGAGATGGGAGCCACCCTGCGCTCAGAAGGTGGGTGACCCTCCCCTGGCACTCTCTCTTCCCCGGAGAGCTGGGGCTCACGCCCTGGGTCCCAGTGTCTGAGGTGGAGGGCGAGGACAGAATACAGTGTGTCACCTTGGTCCTGTGAGACCAGGGCTCCCCAGGCTCATCTGTTCCTCCCTTTATGCGTCCTTTTATTCCGAAAGAGCAACCACTAGCGAAGCAGCAGAGATAGCGATGAGAAATGTGGGATGTCAGCCCACCTGGGTTCAAATCTCGGCTCTGCCACTTACCAGCTGGGTACCACTGGGCCAGTTACTTCGCCTCCCTCTGCCTCAGGCTCCCCGCCTGAGAAAGGGTGGCAGTGGTGTCTACCTCACAGGCGCCATTGTGACAGTTGAAGGAGCACATGTCAGTAAGGCAGCCGGTGCAGGGAGAAGGCTGTGTGAGGGGCCCATGCTGGGTGGGCCTTGGCCAGCGAAGCACTGCCTCTCCCTTCAGTCTCTGCTCATCATGCAGAAGAGCTCTCCGACCCCGAGCCCCTGGGCCAGCCTTCCCCCGGAGCAGGAGGGAGGTTGGTGCAGGCGGCCTCTGGGGAGGGGGTCTGGGCGGTGGGGGCCCGGCACGGGTGGAGGCTCTCCTTGGCTACCCTTCCGTGGGGTGTGCGTGGGCTGTCTGTCCACAGCGGCATGTTGTAATGGAAAGTCCACAAGAATGGGGAGGGGGGAGGTGCCTTGTGCCCCCACCCCAGAGAGGGACACAGGAAGTCTGGGCGAGAGCCCCGGGTGCTGTGCTCCCTGTTCATTCTGTCCCTGGGCCAGAGGCTGCTGCCGAGGCTGTGAGTGAAGCCCTGCCCTCATGCCTGCTCCTCAGCTCAGTCCCTGCGAGGCCAGGGGAGGGCAAGGTGACCAGACGTCCCGCTTTTGGCGGGACAGTCCTGATTTTTAACAATTTGTCCCGCGTCCCGCGGCGTTTAAAAACAAACAAACAAAAAAAAAAAACGGGACTTTTTTAAAACGCCGCGGGACACAGGACCACTTGTTAAACATCGGGACGTCTGGTCACCCTTTAGGGTAGGGAGGACTTGGATTACTAGCTCCATTTTACAAACGGGGACGCACGGGCACAGAGAGGAGGTTCTTGGACCAACCTGAGGTCCCACAGCCTAGAAGCAGCGGCTTCCCCCTGCCCCCCATCATTGCTACCCCACCCCCAAAGCGCCTCCGCCCTCCGGGCCTCAGTGTCTCTCAAACCAAGGGTTCGGACACGGCCCCCCTCAGGCACCTCCAGCTCTGGATGCTGCAAATCAGCAAAAATCCCCACACCTCTGTCACTTTTCTGCGAGTAACAGTGGCTGAGAAAAGAAAATCCCCGTGTAGGGAGTCCTCGCTCAGTGTACCGTTACCGGATTCCCAGAGGACCCCTATCCGATAGGTACACCTGTCCCCCGTTTACAGGAGGGGAAACTGAGTCCCGGGAGCGGTCTGCCAAGGGCACCAGCCGGTGGGTTGGACAGCTGAGGCCTTAACCAGGAGGCAGTAGCTCTGCAGCCCGTCGTCAGGCTGGGGGCGTTCCTGCTGAGCTGTTCCTTTTAGAGGCTGGCGTTCTGGCTGGGACGACAGAGAGCGCCTAGTCACCGGGGTGGGCAGAGGCCGGGTGGGCAGGGTCCCTGGTGGGTCAGCCCCCAGGCCCGCCTCTCTCTCTCTGCCTTGCAGCAGGGGCCCGGCGCCTGAAGCAGCTGCTCAGCTTCGCGCTGGGCGGCCTCTTGGGCAACGTGTTCCTCCACCTGCTGCCCGAGGCCTGGGCCTACACGTGCAGCTCCAGCCTCGGTGAGTGAGGCCACAACCCGCAGGCCACAAGCAGGCAGGGGTGGGAGGGGCCGGTACCCATGCCCAGGCCTGGCAGGGGGATTCTGGGTTATCAGGCTGGGAACTTGCCCCGGCCCCTGTGGCAGTCCCCGGGGCGCCGCTGCCCCACCAGCCTCTGTCCCTGCCCTGGACGAGGTCCCATTCCACATGGCCCCTCTTCTCTGGCCTTGGCTGGGCCTGGTCTGTCAGTGCTGCCCCCTGCAGGTGGTGAGAGGCAGAGCCTGCAGCAGCAGCAACAGCTGGGGCTGTGGGTCATCGCCGGCTTCCTGACCTTCCTGGCTTTGGAAAAGACGTTCCTGGACAGCAAGGAGCAGGAGGGGACCAGCCAGGTGAGCCTCAAACCCCAGGTCCTGGGTTCCTCTGTCTGTTCTGCGGTGGTCCCAGGGCCTGGAGGCCCAGGTTCTGAGTTGAACCCTGGGTCAAAGAGGGTCTCTTGGCCTTTTCTTGGGGCCACTGGGGGCTGGGCCAGCTTGTTTGGGGATCTGGGGAGCGACGGCCGTGCAGGAGGCGGACAGACTATTGAGTTTGAGGGCACCTGGCGGATCAAGCAGCAGAGAAGTCTAGACAGAGAAAAGGGGTGTTCCCTGTCTCTGTTTCTCCATCTCTGCTCCTCTTCTGTGTCCACCCTGGCCAAGCGGGGGGGGGGGGGGGGGGGCATCTAATGTCACCTCTCCCTCCTTCTCCTGGCCCTAGGCCCCCCGCAAAGGCCCCGCTGCTGCTGCCGCCGTGCTCAGTGGAGGCCGCTATGTGGCCCAGCCGGCTGCAGAGCCCGGCCTGAGCGCCGTGGTCCAGAGCATCAAAGTGAGTGGCCCCTTAGGGCCCCCTCCTCCTGCAGCCGCCCGCTGCCCCCCGAGTGGCCAGCCCGGCTCGGCCCTGCCCGCCCTGTTCAGCTGGCCCTCGCTCCCCTCCCCCAGGTCCGTGGCTATCTCAACCTGCTGGCCAACACCATAGACAACTTCACTCACGGGCTGGCTGTGGCCGCCAGCTTCCTGGTGAGCAAGAAGGTGAGTGGGGCTTGGGGCCGGCGGGGCGCAGGCAGTGCCAGTGGGAAGGGTGGTGCTTGTGTTGACCAGTTGGCTCTGCCTCCAAAATAGGTCTCCAGCCCATCACTTCTTGCTCCCTGCATCAGCAACACCCTCCTCCGAGCCCCAGTCCTCCCTGTCGCTCTCCTGGACGTGGTCTTTTGTCCCGAGACACTGGTCTGTTCTCCTGGCTGCAGACCCATGCCTCTGCCTGCCCGCTTCCAGATGCTCCCCACCTTCCCCTGCCTCTGTGTCTGCCGCCTGTGAAACACCGCTTTCCCCTCCTTCACGGCCTCCACCTCGCACCGCTCCAGCTGCCTGGACACTCTCCCCCACCCTCCACGCTGGCTCCTCAGCTAAAGGTGCTTCCTCAGACAGGCCTCTGCTGCCCCCTTGTCCGCCTAGGCCCCATCACTCCTGCCCCCCCAGCAGCTGTCCGGGAGTGGCACGCAGCTCGTGTGTCTACTCAGTCCTGGCCTCCCTCCTCCGGACTGTGAGCTTCCTGAGGGAGCTCCTTGTCTGTCGGAGTGGCTGCTGTGTTCCTGGTCACCGAACAGTGGCCGGGCAGGTGCTCAGAGCAGAGCAGACGCGGGTAGGCTGAGTGGACAGAGGGTTCCCCCGCCCTCGGCACAGACCCCCACAGACTCCCCTTCCTGCAGATCGGGCTCCTGACCACCATGGCCATCCTCCTGCATGAGATCCCCCATGAGGTGAGTTCCAGAAGGCCTGGGGGCGCGGCGAGGGGGCGCGGGCCGGGGGCGCGGCGAGGGGGCGCGGCGAGGGGGTGCGGGCTGGAGCCAGCAGTAGGGCGATGCAGGGGCTCATGTGCGTGACCATCCCCAAGGTGCTCGGGGGGTCCGGTCCTACCAGGGCCCAGAGTGAGCCTCCGGACCTCCCCTCAGGTGGGCGACTTCGCCATCCTGCTGCGGGCCGGCTTTGACCGATGGAGCGCAGCCAAGCTCCAGCTGTCCACGGCGCTGGGGGGCCTGCTGGGCGCCTGCTTCGCCATCTGCACACAGTCCCCCAAGGGCGTAGGTACGGGCGGGCGTGGGGTGTGGGGTGTGGGCAGGTGGCCCTCAGCAGAGGGGTCCCCGCCAAGGGCACCCCTGCCCACCCCGATGTTGAGATGGGACCCTTGGTCTCCGCTGCGGGAGGGGGGAGGGCCCCACGGGCTCCCAGCCAGGCGGGCCTTCTCCCCCGCAGAGGAGACTGTGGCCTGGATCCTGCCCTTCACCTCGGGCGGCTTCCTCTACATCGCCCTGGTGAACGTGCTGCCCGACATCCTGGAGGAAGATGACCCGTGGTGAGTGCCTCTCGGGGCTGCCCCTCACGGGCCCTGAGGGAGGAGGAGGAGGAGGAGGGGGGGGGCTCCCCTGGCCTCCTCCTGCCCCTCCCCCATGCCAGCACCTGAGCCCAGCCCCTCCCCCCGCAGGCAGTCCCTGCAGCAAGTGCTCCTGCTCTGCGCGGGGATCCTGGTGATGGTGCTGTTCTCGCTCCTGGTGGAGTAGCCGCCCGCCCGCCACCGCAATAAGACACTCGATTTACTCTGTGACCGTGTGTGAGGGCAGAGAGGGCGAGTGTCCGAGCCAGTGGGCCTCCAGCCAACCAGAGGATGATGTGCGCACTCGTGTGCGTGTGTGTGTGTGTGTGTGTGTGTGTGTGTGTGTGTGTGTGTGGACAGAGGTGTGTGAGACCGACACTGTGATCCCTCATGTCCAGGGCCCAATGCCCGCGCCTGCCCCAGCCACACTGTGGTCCTCTCTCCTTGCCACCCTGTCATCCTGCACCTCCCAGAGAGAGCAGTGAGGAAGCCAGCGCTGGTCCCAAGCAGAGGCCGCTCCCCATGACCCCCAGGGGAGTGAAGGGCACCCTCTGGCTGCAAGGAACCCCAAAGCTGTCTCCCCCTAGGCCTCACAGGTCCCTGGCCGAGAGAGTGAACCCCTCTGCTCACGCACCGAGGCTGAGGCTGGGGTGAACTGGCTGCATCCATGGTCGTGGCCCTTCCTTCGCCATCTCTACAGCCAAAGAAAGGAGAGGCAGGTGCTCTTGCAGCCCCCAGCCCCACTCAGCACTGACAGTCCCACCCTCCCAGCCTGAAGCCCTGAGATGCTTCCTCAGACCGGGGCCAGCTCCCGCCCCCCCAGTGAACGCTCCGTGGCAGCACCAGCAGCTCCTGCCACCTCCGGCTGCCAAACAGCAGCCTGCAGTGCAGCCAGCAGCCCCGGGCCAGGGAGACCGCCCGGGCCAGCTCAGGGTAGCTTGCGCCAGCACAGGGGCCAGGCAGACGTCCTGGGGGCAGGAAGAGAGAGTGGTTCGTGGCTGCCCTCCCTGCTCAGGCCGCTGTTAGGTGGGGGTGGCGAGGGCTCCATGTAGTCAGCACTCGAGAATGTGCTCTGGGAGAATGCTGAAGTCATAATCCCCAGCTATTTCCCTTGGCTGGCGCCCAGGCACTCAGCTGGCCCACTCCGCAGCCAGGCCCAGCCCAGCTGCTCGACCTCGGATATTCTCAGAAGCGGCCATAAGAGGGTCGGAATGGTTTCACGGCAGTTTTGCTGATTCCGTTTGTATCTGTAAATACTTGTTCTATATATAAGATGCAAATAAATATTATACACACACTGGCCGCCTCTGTCCTGGGCACCATCCAGCCGAACAGGGCTTTCCCGGCTGGCCGCCCCACGGCCCCGCGCCGGCTGGCCGCCTGCCCGTCTCGCCCCCGCCTCCCACCCTCTGCTCTGTGCTGTCTCTGAACTGTTACCCTGGCAGTGCTTCTCAGAACGGGATAGCATTTCACAGTTTCCTGGCTCGTCCCGTTAGTTTTTTTGTCCCCATAAAACAAGCCTGCCACTGTTATAGCTCACACCCCCCCCAAGGGTGGTGGCCTCATACAGACCTGGGAACCGGCGGCTCTTTCCCAGCCTGCCCCTGAGTAATCTAATCCAGGAAGGGAGCTGCGTCCATTAAGGCATCTCAGGTTTAGCCTCAACGAAATAGTTATTTTTCATTAAAAAGAAAAACATCTGAATGTGCTGAGTGTAAGGATAGGGCCAGGCACCGGGGGGCGCTGCTTCCCCACAGTGCTCTCTATCCGAGCCAAGCAGCACAGCCTCGGTAGTTAGCAGAGGGCAGCACGTCCACACAGCATCACTGAGTGTGAAGCCCGAAGTGCTGTGCCCAGCCTGGCTCTTGAATCACTCCTTTCAGCAAAAAGGGACTCGCTGCTCCTGACTGACACCCCGGGACCAGGTGGACCGGCACCTGATCTGTCAGGGAAGGAACCCAAGCCCTGGGGCTCCCATGTTGAGCCTGGAGTGCGTGCAGGTTTACCAGGGTGTTGCAGCCGGTGAATGCTCCAGCTGTCAGAAGAGGGAACGGAATGCAGGAATGGGAACAGCGGAGCCGGGCAGGGGACAGAACCTGTCCTTCAGAGGCCACGCAGGGGCTCAGCCAGGTGTGGGAAGTCAATGATTAGGTGCATCTCGGCACGGTAGCAGGAAGGTGGGCCTGGAGGCGGTGGGACCACAGGTGGGGAGGGAGAAGAGCTGGTTAGGAGCCTAACCTCCAGAAAGGCCCAGGCCATCTGTAGCCCAATTAAGCATGTTCCTCAGGGGAGGGGACCAGGGACCAGGAGGGTGTAGGGCTTTGGTCAGAGGGCAAGTGAGAGCTGCCGAGTTCTCAGGAGCTGCTACTTTGAAAGTCCATTCAGGAGCTTTCAAAGCATAAGGGACCGAGATCCTGCTAAGGTTCGTTTTCGCCAGAGGAAATGGACCAAAAGAGCTAATGGGGCCCGACCAGGTGTGGCTCAGTGGTTGTGTGTTGACCAATGAACCAGATCACGGTTCAATTCTCAGTCAAGGCGCCTGCCCCGGAGTTGTAGGATGGAACCGGGAGGCGAAAGGGGAGGGCAATGCAGGAGAGGCCAATCAGTGATTCCCTCTAATCATTGATGTTTCTATCTTCCCTCTCCCTTCCTCTCTGAAATCAATAAGATAAAAAATAAAAAAATAGCCGAAACTGGTTTGGCTCAGTGGATAGAGCGTCAGCCTGCGGACTGAAAGGTCCCGGGTTCGATTCCGGTCAGAGGCATATACCTTGGTTGCGGGTGCATCCCCAGTAGGGGTCTGCAAGAGGCAGCTGTTCGATGATTCTCTCTCATCGATGTTTCTAACTCTCTATCCCTCTCTCTTCCTCTCTGTAAAAAAATCAATAAAATATATTAAAATAAATAAAAACAGCTAATGGGGAAAAACAAGAAGCTTGGAGGCCAGGAAACAAAGGTGTTTCAAGGGGGAAAGACCCAGAGCACCAAAATGTGAACAAAAGGAAAGGCTGGCTCTATTTAGGGCCTTCACCCTAGGGCTTCAGCACAATCTTGAAAGCTCAGAGGGAGGGCGGGGGATGGGGAGGGAGGGGTCTGGAGGGCCGGTGGGACTGGCCTGAGGGCCTCAGTTGAGGCCACAGCTGTCTTGAGTTCCAGGCAGGAGCAGGTGGGGAAGGGGTTTCCTGCGGGCACACCCCTCTCTCCATTAAGAAGCGAGACGACAGGTGTCAGTGACCTGAAACCACCTTTTATTATGAATTCTAACCAGCAGGAGAGCAGGGGACCGTGTGGTGGACAACGCTCTAGGCATAGTACTGCAAGTTGGCTTTCTTCTTGGCCTGCACCTCCAGGATGCCCTCCATGTAGTCCTCGTGGGTGAGCTCCGTGGCACCCCTGCGGAGTGCGATCATGCCCTGCACCCAGGACACACAGCCTCAGGGTGCCTCCCCAGCCTCTTCCCCGCAGCAGCCCACTGGCCACGTAACGCTGCCCCGTGCAGGGAAGGGGGCGGGAAGCACCCACTCACCCACCTCACCCACCACTCACCGCCTCCACACACACGGCCTTGCACTGGGCGCCATTGAAGTCATCCGTACAGCGGGCCAGCTCCTCGTAGTTCACATCAGGACTGCGGGAGGACAGAAGCCACAGGCCTCAGTTACTCATGGGGTCGGGGCAGGGGGAGCACATGTCCCCCACGCTGCCCCATCCAGTCAGCTCACACTGTGCCTCGTTCTCTTCAGCAGGTTAGACAAGGTGATTCTCTGTCTTGAGCTCCCGCCTTCTAGAAATCCGTACCTGAGACCCCAGGGACCTCTGAGGCTGAGGCGGGGGAGCAGGAGGGTGTGGAGACAAGGATGGCCATCTGCCTCTCCTGAGTAGCACAGGCCATGTCCATGTGCTGCTACCACTTAAAAAGCTCACATGCCGAGCACTGTGCCTGATGTTGCCACAACCCCATAGATTGATGTCATTACCCGCCCCACACACATAAGTCCCAGATAAGAAAGCTGAGGCTGAGAGAGGTTATGTCACCTGCTGAAGGTCACAGAGATCTGAACCTAGGTCCATCTGGCCCCTGGATGGATCCCCCTGGACCATGTGGGGCTGTGCCCACGTGCTGAGGTCAGGGAGGTGGGGAAACTGAGGCCCTCTGGCCTGCAGACCTTCCTATGGGGGGGAGGAGGAGGCAGGTGGAGCCTAAGGAGTAGAGCAGCGACAAGTGGGAGTCTTGGCCCCCGTAAGACTACCTGAGGCACGTGGGGAGAAGTGGAGGTTAGAAAATGGTATTCAGCCCTAGCTGCTTGGCTCCGTGGATGGAGTGTCGGATGAAGGGTCCTCGGTTTGATTCCATAAAGGGCACATGTCCAGGTTGCAGCTCGGGAGGCAGCCAATCAGTGATTCTCTCTCATTATTGATGTTTCTACCGCTCTCTTCCTCTCCCTTCTTCTCTGAAATCAATAAAAAATACTTTTAAAAAAAAAGAAAATGGTATTCAAAGGTGCTGTATGAACGGGCTGCGGAGAGGAAGGGCATGGGCGCAGGCCTGGGAGGCTCAGCACGAGGAGGAGCAGCGGGCTCAGCGCCCTGCTCCTGGACAGCGTGCTCACCTGACATTCATCTTTCGGGAGTGGATCTGCATGATTCTGGCCCGGGCCTCCTCGTTGGGCATCGGGAACTCAATCTTCCGGTCCAGGCGGCCAGAGCGGAGCAGGGCAGGGTCCAGGATGTCCACCCTGTTGGTGGCCGCGATTACCTGAACAAGGAAAGCAGCAGCGACTTGAATGGAGGAGAAAGGGTTCAGACCGGCAGCAGTCATGGCCACAACAGGCAGAGACAGCCCAGGGTCCAGGGGAAAGGGCAGGGGACGTTCAAGACAGACCCCAATTCCTACTATGGCTGCCACAGCGAGGTAACAAGAAGGTCCTGGCCTCTAAGCCACACGTTTTTCACCTTCAGCAATACTCACCTTGACCTGGGTATTGGGCTGAAACCCGTCCAGCTGGTTCAGAAGCTCCAGCATCGTCCTCTGCACCTCCCGGTCCCCGGCCTTCTCGCTGTCAAAGCTGAGGCCCGAAGGAGGCCCAAGACACTGGTGAGGCCGCTGCTTGGGCAGAGCCCTCCCTTCTCTCCCCACACGAGAAGCCTCGCCCAGCCCATCCAGGGCAGGGAAATGTTTCACTCAACTTGGGGCCCCAGCCAGGGACTAGCACAGAAAAGGTCAGTAGCTGTGGATGGCAGCATTCAGAGACCGGGGAGGCTCTGGGGCCAGGTGTGGAGCTGAGGATAAAACCACCCAGTGCTGCCGAAACCGGTTTGGCTCAGTGGATAGAGCGTCGGTCTGCGGACTGAAAGGTCCCAGGTTCGATTCCGGTCAAGGGCATATACGTTGGTTGCGGGAACATCCTCAGTAGGAGGTGTGCAAGAGGCAGCTGGTCGGTGTTTCTCTCTCATCGACGTTTCTAGCTCTCTATCTCTCTCCCTTCCTCTCTGTAAAAAATCAATAAAATATATTAAAAAAAAAAAAAAAAAAAAAAAAAAAAAACCCACCCAGTGCCTGGGCCAGCACCTGATGAACATCCACTGCAAGCTGAGCTAAGCTTAGAAGCACAGGGATCCAGCCCAGACCTGGAGCGTAAGGGGAACCTCAGCCGAGAGCTAAAGGCTGAAAACACATCAGTTGGGCAACCAATCACAGAAGAGGGAAAAAGGTAAAGCACACTCCACAGAGGAAACAGCAGATGCACAATCTCTCCTGCTGCAGAGCCAGAGTGGGAGGCATGCGGGGGGGGGGGGGGGGGGGGCGGCGGAGAGTCCCGAGGGAGGGAAAGGCAGGGGCAGAACCAGCATGAGGCCGGAGGGGAGCAGGGACAGCCACTGAAGGGGCCCTGCAGGTCATGGCAAGCCCAAGCATTTACTCCAAGGAGCAATGGGGAGGCCCAGGAAGGGTTTTAAGTAGAATCCGTATGTGTGAGGGGCTGTGGGTGGACGAGTGACATGACAAGGTTTTTGTAGGGAACACGCAGCCCGCTGTGAAAACGGATGGTCAGGGGGAAAGATAAGCAGCAGGGAAGCTAGTTAGAAAAGAATTTAGGAAGAACACAAAGTAAAGCTGCCATCACCCCAGGAAAGGGGACAGGGTGGGAGAGTAGGAATTTAGAACCTTCTCCTTGGTGGTACCCGGCACCCCCTTACCGCTTGGTGCCGATGGCATCCAGCTCATCAATAAAGATGATGGATGGAGCTTTCTCCTTGGCGAGGGCAAAGGCATCCCGGACCAGCTTGGCACCATCCCCGATGAACATCTGCACCAGCTGAGGGCCGGCCAGCTTCAGGAAGGTGGCCTGGGGGCGGCGGGAATGGGGGTTGACGCAATCAGGCCAGAAGCACCACGACAGGTGCCTTCAGGCTCTGAGTGCCCACCCAGTCCTGCCCATTCCTCTCCGTCTTCCCAAAGCACTCACCTTGGTCTGTGCAGCACAGGCCCGGGCCAGCAGAGTCTTCCCCGTACCTGGGGGCCCGTACATCAGCACCCCCTTTGGAGGCTGGATCCCCAAGTTCTCAAACTTCTCCTTGTGGTTCATGGGCAGGACAATGGCCTCCACCAGCTGCCAGGAAGAAGTCCTGGGTGAGGAGAGTGAAGCCCTGAGGGCTCCTACAGCCCAACCTTTAATGGTTTCAACCCCAATCTGTAACCCTCCTATTCCAATTCAGGGACACTGCCCTCTCCTTCCCCCCATCGCAGAACCTCACTCCCGTCAAGGCTGACTATGGTCTCTCCAGGCTCAGCAGCACATGGTGAAAACATTGGGCCTGAGTTCCAGGCCTGGCTCTGGCCTTAGCCTTCCATGACCCTAAGCAAATGGTTCACTCTCTCGGGATCTCAGTCCCCCAAACTGTCACGTGCATCCTTCTTGCCTCCCTGGGATGCCATGGGGATAAGAGGCACATTAGGGGAAGCGCCCTGGTCAACGAGGCAGAGAAACACAGAAGGCTGGCAGGCCGCTAGTGGCTGCCAACCCCCCTCACCTCCTGAATCTGCTTGTCCAGGCCCCCGATGTCACTGTACTGCTCTGTGGGCCGCTCGTCCACCTCCATGGCCTTCACCCGCGAGTCGTACTCTGTGGGCAGAGTCTCCAGGATCAAATAGGAGTCTTTGTTCACACCCTGGAAACACAACACAAAGCCTTCAGATTTGTCCCAGCTCAAGGCCTAATTAAGTGGCCGGGTGACAGGTATCTGAAGAGTGAAAAGAATGATATGGAGCCCTCGCTGGTTTGGCTCAGTGGATAGAGCACTGGCCTGCAGACTGAAGGGCCCCAGGTTCAATTCAAGTCAAGGGCACATGCCCGGGTTGTGGGCTTGATCCCCAGTAGGGGGTGTGCAGAAGGATTCTCATCAATGATGTTTCTGTCTCTCTCTCCTCTCCCTTCCTCTCTGAAATCAATTATATATATATGTATTTAAAAAAAGATTTAGAGTAGGGAGACAGGGTCTGACTCTTCAGGCTGCTCTGCTGAGAGACTCAGGGCCAACAGAGACCTGGGCCTGGATCAGGGCCCAGCTGCTCAGTGGGAGAAATTCACTGGAAAAGCTCTGCCTGGGCTCAGGGACACCACTCACCACCAAGTCTCCAGGCTTCAGTTTCTCAGCATCCACCAACCCAATCACAGGCAGGAAGTAGGTCTGTCAGAAAAGTTCCAGAAGCAGCCTCAGTGACTGCCCTCAGGAAGGCTCCCTAGCCCTTTCCCACATGCACCCCTCACCCTCCTCCGTTCTCCTTCCGAGGAGCCAGCCTCACCTGCCGTGTGGAGGTTTTGATCACGGCACACTTGCCCTTCCTCTGTGAGTCCAGGTCAATGTTGGCGCCATCCTCCTCTTGGTCATTGGGGTCCACGTCCAAAAGCTGGGAAGGGGGAGAGCGCAGATGAAGAGGCCTTCCTCAGAGCGCCCTGGACTCCCCAGAGCCAGGTGCTTCCTGGGCTGAGACAGTCCCAGCGCTGGTGGAGCTGACCATCCCTACCTCACTCTGCACACTGGCCCTCAGCTCAGCACGTGCGGCTGATAAACCATGGGATTGACAAGATCTCTGTTTAGATGATGCTTCTCTGCACAGACAGAGCTCATCTACTCCCAAGGAAAAACCACCGGTAGAAAATGAGACAGGTGAGGCTTCTGAGGCCTTTTCCAGCCCTATAGATACCCCTAGAAATGCACACTAGGAAGGGGACCCTCCGAAGGGAACCCCAACATGCAACTGGGGCCTCAAAACTTCACCGACTCTTTCCCAATGGCCCATCACGGGCCCCGCTAGCCCCTCTCTTCCCCTCCACATACACACACACCTCGATGACGTTGGAGACCAGGTAGGGCAGGGTCTTGTTCACTTTGATCTTCTCACTGTTCTCTTTGATCTTGTCCTTCATGGCTTGGAGCTCGTGGGTAACTCGTAACACTTCGCTCTTCATAATCTGGGATGGAGACAAGGGGAAGCAAATGCTGGGCCTGGGAATGAGTGGAGTCATCACAGGGGGCCCCCCGCTGCCGCTCACTTGGCTCTTGGGCCTCTGAGAGCCGAGCCCCTCGGACCGCGGCCTGGTGAAGGAATGGGAAAAGAGGGGAAAAGAGTAGGACTTTGGGTCGAATACAAGTTTTAGGTTCCGCCTTTTATTAAGGGCTGGGTAGTTCAAAATAAAAACCTTCAGTTTCCTCTCTGTAAAATGAAGATTTCCTAAAAGAGGGATTTTTGAGAGGAATACTTAAAAGAGCTCGCTGGGAATGGCAGTCTGGTTCCTACTTCCAGGCCTGGTGTCCCCACATCCTGTCCCTCTGCTGGTCCCTCTCAAGGCTTAGTTTTCTTTCCTCTTTTTGTGGCCCAAGGAGGAAACAGCGGTCCCCATGCTCCCCCAGGGAGGCAGCTGGGACCACCCGGGCCGGCCCTGGATGCCCACCTTGATTTCACTGTCCAGCAGCCGTGTGCGCTGGATAATCTCTTCTGTGGACATCTTGAGCACCTCTTCCCCGATTCCATCTTGCTGTTTAAAAAAAAGAAAAATGTAATTAAGGGCACTGCCCGCTTTCTCCAAGCCCACTCAGCCTCAGTTTCCCCGTCCATAGACTAGAATGAAGGAATCAGGATGCTTGCCCACATCCCAAGCGGCCCCGACCCTGGGACCGAGCCAGACCTCGACCCCCGGGCATCTGCTCCCCTCCCGCCAAGGCGGTCTCCCCGCGGGTCCGGCTCTAGGACCCCCGCGCTGTCCCGGAGCGGACCTCAGCCTCGTCCCACACGGTCGCCATCTTCTCCTGCCGAGTCACTGAACTCTCGAGTTCCGGCAGCAGATTCACTTCCTGGAGGGAAAGATCGAAGCTCGGACTGGGCCGGAGCCGTGGCAGAAAATTAGTACTGTCTGTCTTAACACCAGCCCTTGACTGGTAGCAGACCTCTTTCTTCTAAGTCCCGACTCCGGCCGATTTATCTCGGGCCGCGAATCTGCTTCTCCGGTTCCAAAGACCACGCGCGGGCCACAGGGCCCACCCCCGTGTCTCCTGAGAAGTTCCCGCCCTCGTCCTGTTGATCCAGTGCTACTGGCCGACGCGTGCAGCGGGCGGGGCCTGGATGTATAAACGGAAGGGGCGGGAGAAAGGGCGAGAGCCGCAAAGCCCCCTGGGAAATGTAGTCTTATGTTGGCCCATAACCGAAAGGGCGTTTTGGAAAGGAGTGCTGCAATCTGAGATGGCCCAGTTAGGAATTAGGGGATTTGCACAAGAGCTCTGCCTCCCAAACTACGGTATAAACAACATACGACAGCCGTGTGCAAAGGGGAGGGGGGAGGGATAACACCTCAGGCAGCATTTTTATAATTATTATTTATTAAGGTTGGTCACCAAGGGTTGGTTACCTGAGAGAATCCTTAACCAATCTTAAAGAATGATCACTGCTGCTACTAACTTCAGGGCAAGGGCCACAGCACTGCCCCTGTGGAAAGGGCTCAGCTGGCAATGAGCCTCTACAATTAAAATTTTTTTTAAAAAAAAAAGCAAACATCACGTCTGTAATCGTTTCTTTTCATCTCACTAAGACAGGACTCTTTGGATCAAATGAGACTCATTTGTTGTACCTGTGTCCTCTGATCTGAGTTAGGGTTTCAACATATAAACTTTGGGAACACAATTCAGTCCATAACATCTTTCTAACAGTATCTCTCTCTCTCTCTCTCTCTCTCTCTCTCTATATATATATATATATATATATATATATATATATATATATATATATATATATATATATATATATATTTCAGAGAGGAAAGGGGAGAGATTTCCTCTCTGGAATATATATATATATATATATATATATATATATATATATATATATAGAGAGAGAGAGAGAGAGAGAGAGAGAGAGAGAGAGAGAGAGAGGTACTGTTAGAAAGATGTTATGGACTGAACTGTGTTGAGAGAGAGAGAGAGAGAGAGAGGGAAACATCAATGATGAGAGAAAATCATTGATCAGCTGCCTCCTGCACACCTACACTGGGGAGCCAGCCAGAAACCCAGGCATGTGCCTGATTGGGAATTGAACTGTAACCTCCTGGTTCATAATTTGATGTTCAACCACTGAGCCATGCCAGCCAGGCTCTAACAGACTTTCTATGTTGCTTATTATCATTACCGTCTGTTGCATCCTCCCTGCATGCCAGCAGCTCCTCCCCGCAGAGAGCTTTGTCTCGGGCGCACTGGCACCCCAAGAACCTGGAAGGGCAGCCGGAGACACTCACACATTTATGCGGAGGGAGGGACGCTTGTGTCTGAGGAAGCTCACCCGGGCAGGGAAGGTCAGAATCACCGGGACCACGTACAAACAGTTTATTTTTCTATAAAGAACAAAGTACAAACAGGTGGGCAGTGGCTGTGGGGCCTTGAGGAGCAGCCGTCGGCAGCCTCAGACCCTGGTGGAGGCCACAGGAGGCCTGGTGGTTGCTCCAGGAGTAAACAGGTGTCCAAAACATGGCCAGTCAGGGGTGGAGGAGCAGCGGTGAGGTGACGTGGGTGCCGACGATGTCACACAAAGCCAGGCTTCATGGAGGAACGGCGACAGTTGGGGCAGCTCCGGGTCCCGTTGTTCTGCAGGCACCTTGGGAGGCAAAGGGCTCCGTCCACTCACCGCGCCCGTCCTTCCGTCCCAAGCCAGGGCCTGTCTCTCCTCCCCTCTGCGGGGGCTTGGAAGGTGCCAAGGGAAGAGGATGGCCCCCAATTCCCTGCCCGCAGCTCTGCTTGCCCATTGCCCTGGCCTGGAAGGAGTCACTTCCAGGTGTGTGAATGCCATGGCCTTTCAGAGGCCTCTCGGAGTTCCCTTTGGAGAGAATGATCGCAAGAATGACCACCTCGGCCGAAACCGGTTTGGCTCAGTGGATAGAGCGTCGGCCTATGGACTCAAAGGTCCCGGGTTCGATTCCGGTCAAGGGCATGTACCTTGGTTGCGGGCACATTCCCAGTATGGGGTGTGCAGGAGGCACCTGGTCGATGTTTCTCTCTCAACCGACGTTTCTAGCTCTCTATCTCTCTCTCTTTCTCTCTGTGGAAAATCAGTAAAATATATTAATTTTTTAAAAATGACCACCTCGGAGGGCTGCTGGGAGGATTCAATGAGCTCACCTATGGGAAGCTTGTCGGACCGCCTGGGACGCAGAAAGCACTGCGTAAATGTCTGCTGTGAGTATGCCTGTGGTGATCGGACCCTAGAGCGCCCCGGAGAGGCCCACGTGCCCGTCCCCCGGCCTGCGGGAGCCCTCACCGGAGGTGGAAGATGTGGGAGCAGGGCAGGGCCTGCAGCCGGCTGTTCCTCTCGCCGATGGACTCCCCGCACAGGCCACAGTAGAGCTCGGTCTCCTCCACGCACTCGTGGAAGCGCACGACGTGGGCGCGCAGCTCCCGCTGCAGCCCCTTGCCGCGGTAGATGCCCTCGCTCAGACAGTGCAGCTTCAGCTGGCTCAGCTGGGCCCGCGGGGACCGGAGTGCAGGCGGAGGGGAGAGACCAGGTCAGTGCCGGTGAGCAGCTGCCCGCCTCCCCTTGCCCAGCCCAAGGCCGCACAGGGCCCAGTCCTGGGCACCTTCCTGCCTGGCGGATGGACCTGGGGAAAAAAAATGCCCTGCCCTCTCTGGGCCTTGGTTTCCCCTCGTGCAGAATGAGGGGGTGGTGAGGTCAGGAGTCTTCACCCCTAGAACCAGAGGGGACCCCATGTTTTTGAAGGGTTGTATTGACCGAACCTGTTGCACTGACTCCACAATTGTTTTCCTGTTCTTCTTAAATACACACAGCAACTTGTTAGGCTTTCTGATCAGACCAAGACGCTCATTTTGGGACTATTACCAGTGCTCAGAGAAATGCACATCTTTCAGAAGGTTTTGAGAAACACTGAACGTGTTTTCCCTGTTTAAAGGTTTGGATACAATTACTGGATTTAGAGAGGCCACGTGTCCAGGCAGTGCAGACAGGCCCGTTACCAGGTCATGAGCTCTTGATCACTCCCAGGGGCCTCGCCTTTCTCATCTGTAAAATGGGGCTCACAGTACCCAGCTTTGCAGAGAGACAGCGAGGACTGGAAGCGATATCTACAAGAGCCCGTCTCTCAGTGAGTGGAGGCCACTGTTAGGCGTTTTGATGACCGCCAAGAAAGCTCTGAGGGCCCTAACGGGTTTGGCTCAGTGGATGGAGCGTCAGCCTGCGGACTGAAGGGTCCCAGGTTCGATTTCGGTCAAGGGCATGTACCTTGGTTGCGGGCACACCCCCAGTTGGGTGTGTACAGGAGGCAGCTAATGGGTGTTTCTCACTCATCAATGTTTCTGACTCTCTATCCCTCCCCCTTCCTCTCTATAAAAAAAATCAATAAAACATATATTTTTAAAAAATTCTGAGGAATTCTGTACCCTCTGAACTGTGAGCCCAGCCCTTTGAAGCGCTCTCTGGGTGGAAGAGACACAGCCGGGGTCTGGGGATGGCTGGGGCAACTCCTGGAGATTAGGAAGGGCTCAGGACGTGAGCGGACTCAGGAGGCTCTCTCCACCTTCCCTCCCTCCCCCCACAATCCCACCTGGGGCTCCTGACTCCAGCCCCAGGGGACAGAAGCAGGTCTGACCTTGTTGCCCACCTCCTCGGCCAAGTCCTGGGCTCTCTCGATGGCATCCAGAGCCTGGAAGGAAAGCACCGCTCTGAGGACAGTGTTGCCTGGCTGAGGCCTTGGCTCAGAGGCAGGTAAGGGGGCAGGGAGAGGTGGGCGTGGGGAGGGGGACATGGCTGGGCAGCCGCCCTGGGTGTGAAGGTAGCAGGAAGAGGCTGGGGTGCAGCTGCAAGAGCTCTGTGGTGCTGCCTCCTGCTTCAGTTTCCTCGGGTCCAGAAGGGACTATTTCTGTCTGGCGGGGTGTTGTGCAAGCAGGGGAAGCAGTTTGGGTATTCTGAATTCAAACCCAGCTCTGGCCCTGTACTAGCTGAGCTGGGTGACTGGGCCATGCATGGGCCTTCTCTGAGCCTGGAAAACGGGGGGAAGCTGGTGTGAGATAACGTGTGTGAAGTCCTCTGAGGCCCAGCCGCACAGGTTGTTGGCCGGGAGCCGGGGAGAGCCGGGGGCTGTAGGACCGGGGCGAAACCTCACCTTGTCCGGTGCCTTCCGGGCCACCCAGCATTTGGCCACACCCAGCAGCACCTGCACCTGCCCCAGGCGGTTGCCGATCTCGGTCATGATGCTCATGGCAGAGTCGTACCTGGGGAAGGCTGTCTGCACAGCCGGGCGAGCGGGGATGGGGTCAGGCTGGGCCAGGCCTGCGCCCCCGGCCCCGCCTCCGGCGGCCTCACCTCCAGGTCCCCGCGGCTCCGGTGGATGTCCGCGAAGCAGAGCAGGCAGAGGGCCTGCAGCGGCCGGTCCCCGTGCTGCAGGGCGATCTTCATCGACTCCTGTGAGGGCGGCCCGGCACTCAGGGCTGCTCGCCCGCCCCCACCACCCACCGGGGCACCCAGGGATCCCCAACATCCTCAGAGCCCCACACACCGATCCTGGCTCTCAGGCCCCACACACCCAACCAGTGGGGCCTCACAGCACCCAGCAACAACGTGGAAACCGAGGCTCAGAGAGCAGAAGTTGACCCCATCCGGCCACCTGGCTAGTAAAGGGGCAAAGCTGGGATTTGAACCCGGGTCGGTGGAACTTCAGAGATGGCTCTCTTCCAACTTAAAGAAGATGGGAGGGTGGGGGGCCACAGGGAAGCCCCCTCCCCTGAGAATAGACTGCAAGGAGTGAGGTTGGGGACGGGAGAAACATGCATCCGTCAGGGCTCAGCTAGAGAAAGGCTGGACCAGGAGCAAGGCATTGTGGGCTGATGTGGAAGGAGGAGACCCTGGCCCGCACCCCCTCCTGCCCGCCTCCCCGCTGCCCCACCTCACAGCACTCCATGGCGCTGCCCAGGTGGCCCAGCAGGCGGTAGGCCACGGCCATGTGGTACTGGCTCATGGCCCGGTACTTGAGGCTCCAGCCTTTGCCGTAGTCGTTGACGAGCTCGGCAGCCTTGCAGGGGAAGAACAGAGCTTTCTCGTAGTCCTGCGGGGACACAGGGAGGGGTGGGGCGGGGGGCACGCCGAGTGTCAGGAGCTGCCCCCACGCTGAAGGCTGCAGGTCCTGGCTTCTCTGGGGTGTTCCTTCATCCTTTCTGGAATCCAGGGGAAAGAGTGATCCAGGCAGGGGCAAGGGGTGGGCTCCATGGACACGGGGATGGGCACCCGGTTTGCTGATGCTGGATTATAACCCACTGCTCGGTTCCTGGCGTTTAGTAGATGCACAATAAATGTCTGTTGAATGGCCCTCGCCGGTTTGGCCCAGTGGATAGAGCATCAAACTATGGACTGAAGGGTCCTGGGTTGGATTCTGGTCAAGGGCACATGCCTGGGTTGCAGGCTCAATCCCCAGTAGGGGGCGGGTGGCAGGCAGCCAATCAATGATTCTCTCTCATCATTGATGTTTCTGTGTCTCCCTCTCCCTTCCTCTCTGAAATCAATGAAAACATTTTAAAAATATATAGTTGTTGAATGAATGAATGAATGAATGAGAAGGCAAGAAAATACAGCTGGCTTCTCTTCTCACCCAGTCCCTGGTGGCCCCTCCGCTGCAGAGACATACAGAAGGGTGGGGTGGCCTGGCATCCTCCCACCCCCACCCCTGAGGTTGCCTCCTGGACCCAGCAGCAGCTGCTCCCTGAAGGCTCCGTGACTGACTCACTGAAGAAGGAAACGTCGGGACTGAGGCAATGAAATCGTCCTCTCATTCGTCCTTTCTCCTCAAACCCCCAAACGGCCTTTCTGCCTGCCCAGGAGGAGCTGACAGCCTCACCTCACTCAGTTTGGAAAACAAGAAAAATCAGAGAGGCGCTCCGTTCAGCAGCTTATCCATCAACCCCACCGGGCACTGCTTTGTGCTGTGTGGGCTGGAGCCGATGAGCTGGCGGGTAAGACCGGGCTGCAGCCGTGGGGAGGTCCACTGATCCCCACCAGCCAGGCCGAGGGGCTCACCCATACACAAATCCGTGCACCAGGACTCCAGCTGGTGGTCAGTGCGCGTCATAGCTACTGGTCGGACGGTAGGACGGTCGGATGGTCACTTAGGCTTTTATATATAGATTGTTATAATAAATAAAATTAATGTTATACATATATAAAATAGTGCTATCTATATAAAACATACCAGGTAATGCTATATAATACGGTTGCATCATAATACATTATATTGTATTATACTACATTAGTATAACTGCAGAGAAAAAAATTTTCAAATGAACTTACAACATATACTTGGACAGTTCATTCATAGTGGGATGTATTATAGAGACAAAAAAAAAAAAAAAAAAAAAGCAGCCAAAGCCGGTTTGGCTCAGTGGCAGAGTGTCAGTCTGCTGACTGAAAGGTCCCGGGTTCGATTCTGGTCAGGGGCGTGTACATTGGTTGCGGGCACATCCCCAGAAGGGGGTGTGCAAGAGGCAGCTGGTCGGTGTTTCTCTCTCATCGACGTTTCTAGCTCTCTAGCTCTCTCCCTTCCTCTCTGTAAAAAATCAATAAAATATATATTTTTTTAAAAACAAAACAAAGAAATCTTAAATTTCCTTCAGTTTTTTTTTTTTAAAGTAACATTGGTTCTGTTGTTGAAACTATTTTATATATTTTGTAGGATAAAGTAAATATTTAATTGTGTTGTTAGAAACCAAGATTTTCAGTCTAAGAGCAACGAGAATCGAGTCTAAAACAAGTTAAGGAAAATCCGGAAACATTAGCCTTGGACTGGAAGCACCGCTAGAAGGCACCCTGGCAATGAGAAGCTTAGCAGCGACGACAGCCCAGGAGCCACGAGCACCCCGAAAGCCCATGTTTTGGCTTTAAATACCGTTTTCTATTAAAAAGAACCCCAAGAAGTGGCTGATCCCAGATCCGAGGCAAGGAATACAGAAAAGGAGCCTGGGACGTTTCCTGTGCCGGAAAGCAAAAACGCTTTCCAGGACTGAATCAATCTCTCCCGAGGACACAGGAGCTTGCTGACAGGAATTCCTGGGGCCAGAGTGAAGGTAATAGGGACGTCAGAAAGAACAATGACTGCAACGAAGAACCGAAGAACCCTGACTCTAAAGAAAATCCACGATTTCATAACGATTTCATAACGGAGGAAGCAAAGCAACCCTGTCAGTGTGCCCCCTGAAGGCAGCCGTCCCTCCGCTCCTTATTCTGGAACTGAAGGAGGAAAAAGCACTCATTCTGCCTTTCCTTCAGGAACTGTGCTTCAAAGTAACCACCTGGTCCCAATAGATGCGGGAAAGGTCTTGCACTTAGAAAATTCTCAGCTAATAATCATAGCAGGAGTAAAAGTCCTGGGAAATGGCCGTTTCATTAGAGTAAAACATGAACACGTTGATCCGGGCAACAAACATCAGCGGATGCTAAAACCATTACAGGAAATGTCACGGCAGGACTGAATGTTCCCGGGTGTCATGAAAGGAAAAACACAAGCCCTGAAACGGAGGGATCAGGCGGTCACTCTCTCAGCCACCCGATGTGATGTGACAGGAAGAACACGGTGTGGCCCTGACCAGTCTGTCTCAGTGGATAGAGCGTCCGCCTGCGGACTGAAGGGTCCCAGGTTCAATTCCGGTCAGGGTCATGTACATTGGTTGTGGGCACATCCCCAGTGCGGGGTGTGCAGGAGGCAGCTGAGTCGATGTTTCTCTCTCATCAATGTTTCTAACTCTCTATCCCTCTCCTCCATTCCTCTCTGTAAAAAGAAAAAGAAAAAAAGAAAAAAAATATATATATATATATTTTTTTTTTATTTTTTTTTAAAGAAAGGAAAAAAAAAAAAAGAACACAGCCGGGACCGGTTTGGCTTAATGGATAGAGCGTTGGCTTGGGGACTGAAGGGTCCCGGGTTCGATACCAGTCAAGGGCATGTACCTTGGTTGCGGGCACATCCCCAGTAGGGGGTGTGCAAGAGGCAGCTGATCGATGACTCTCTCTCATCGATGTTTCTAACTCTATCTCTCTCCCTTCCTCTCTGAACAAAATCAATAAAATATATATTAAAAAAAAAAAAAAAGAACACAGTGTGGACGCAAAGGAGCCACATCCTAACCCCCCACAAGCGCAGGGGAGGCCTGTGTGGCCTCACGAACTGAGACCTAAAACACCCCCGAGGACGGCCTGAAATGAAAGCATTTAAACTAAATTGTTTCAAGTGGGCAGTCACATCCTAGGCAGGCATCTTCCCGGACAAAGGTCCATCTTGACCTTACCTGAGCCTGTCTATTGTCTTTTTGCATCTGCGACGATAACGACCATGGAATGTCAGAGTCAACTTCCTTTTCCCGGACCCCTCAAAGCACCCGCACCACTCCGCGGAGACCACCGCCCCCTCCTCGTTAGGCGGTCACTGCTGACTGTTCACTCTCCTCTCCCATCGAGTACAAGCCTGCAATCTTGCTTTTTACCCGCTTCCCTTCTGCTTCCTCCCGCCTCCCTCACCTGCCACCAATGGATTCCATGTGGCCTACATATGTCTCCTCTTTTGACTGTAACGTATAAAATCGGGTGCAAAACGGCTATTCTCCAGAGCATTATCTCAATCCCTTGATGGTTTGCTTCCCGGCGATTGTCAACAGTTTGGCTCAAATAAGCTCACAAAAACTCTCTGTGGGCCGAAACCGGTTTGGCTCAATGGATAGAGCATCAGCTTGGGGACTGAAAGGTCCCGGGTTCGATTCCGGTCAAGGGCATGTACCTTGGTTGTAGGCATATCCCCAGTAGGGAGTGTGCAAGAGGCAGTTGATCGATGACTCTCTCTCATCGATGTTTCTAACTCTCTATCTCTCTCCCTTCCTCTCTGTACAAAATCAATAAAATATATTAAAAAACAAAACAAAACAAAAAAAACCTCTCTGTGAGTCTGACGGTTTCTCATGTTGCCGACAGCATTGCTTGTGTGACAGTCTCACCTCTCCACACCCTCATTCCAATCGCGGTTCACAGGGAGGAGAGGAGATAAGGGAACCATTACATGGCTCCTTGAGGAAGCAATGAGATGGAACATTCTACAAGGCAGACAATCTGGCTTCTTCAATAAATGGTGGGAAATAAAAGGGGAGGGGAGGAATTTTCTACCAAATGAGACTGAAGAGACACACTAACCACTGCCAGGTGTGGCTCTCCTTTCTATTTCGATTCAAAGGAGCCGCGGGCACAGGTGACTTTTTGGGAAAAGCACAGAAAAATTTAAGATAAATGAAGTTGCTTGTGATGGTGTGTGTGGCCATAGTTTTATGATTATGTATGAAAGTGTCCTTAGATAAGAAAATGTCCGTCCCAGATGCATGCTAAACTTCTTTGGGGTAAAAACATCATGATGTCTATAATTTTATATCATGACACTGCAGGGATTAAGAAGTACAAATTAGCAGTTATAAAACACAGGAATGTAAATCACAGATCAGGGAATATAGTCAATAATACTGTAATGACTATATATGGTGCCAGGTGGGTACTAGACTTTTTGGGGGGATCCCTTCGTAAGGTATGCAAATACTGTACACCTGAAACTGATATAATATTAAATGTCAACTGTAATTGAAGTTTTTTAGCCAGCCGGCATAGCTAACCTGTGCCGGCTGGCTAGGAGGTCGTGGTTCGATTCCCGGTCAGGGTACATGATTGGGTGGCATGCTCGATCCCCAGCAGGGGCTGTATAGGAAGCAACCAGTGATTCTCATCATTGATGTTTCTATCTCTTTTTCCCTCTCCCTTCCTCTCTGAAGCCAATTAAAAATATATTTTTAAAATAAACATTTCAAATGAAAATAGAAAACATATGTAAATCAAATAAGGCCAAATATTAATCATTGTTAAATCTAAGTGGATATATGGAAATTCATTACATCATTCTCTTGACTTCCCTGTGGAGTTAATTTTCTTCATAATAAAGAAAGGTTTGAAAACACCCTTACTCCTCTCCAATCCTATTGCGCCTCATTGGTTGGCTTTCCTGTCCATCTAGTTGCTGAAAACAAAATCCTCAGTGTCATCCTGGACGACTCTCCTCATTTCCTCACAAGCCAGCTCTGAACTGTCCGCACACTCGCCGACCCTTTGATTTATTGACCATCGATCTGTGCCAGGCATTAGCATCTGCCCTGGGCCAAGCGCAGCCTGGCTGCCCAGAGAAAAAACAGCTGCTCAGGACCAGAAGCCTGCGGTCACGGGTCCCATCAGTTCATTCACAGTCTGCCTTCCCGCCTCCCCTCACCCTCTGACCCCACCTCCTCTCTCCTTCTCCCCTTCCTGGCCTCCGTCCTGCCTAGAACAGGCCAGGTATGCTCCCCCACTTCCAGGGCAGAGCTTTGCCTCAGCTGTTCCACCTTTTCCACTCACACCAGCATGGCTCACACCCTCATCTCCTTCAAGTCATCGACATCACCTCTACGAGTCTCGCAACAGCCAATTGTTTGAAATTGCAGCATCGCTTACCCCTTTCTCTGCTTCCCTTCGTCCTAAGAAGCACTTTCTAGCATGCTATGTGGTTTACTTACTCATTGTTTTTGTTTTGTTTTGTTTTGTTTTAATCTTCTTTCTCCCCCCAACTAGAGGGCAAGCTTCATGGGGCCAGGGACCTGGCTATGGCTGTCACTGCTGCTCCACAGGCCAACGGTGCCTGGGATACAGTAAATGCCCAATAAATATATGATGGTCGAATCCTTGCTCTCCCTCATTCTATGGATACTAGAGGCCCAGTGCACAGAATTCATGCACTGGGGGTGGGGTGCCTCAGCCTGGCCTGTGCCCTCTCCCAGTCCGGGAGCCCTTGGGGGTGTCCAGCCGGCCGTTGGGCATCCTTAACGCTGCAACGGAGGAGGGAGAGGCTCCCACCACCGCCCCTGTGCTCATCAGCTATGAGCCAGGCTCAGGGCTGCTGGCTGAGCAGCACTCCCTCTGTGTGTCTGACCCCTGGTGGTCAGTGCATGTCATAGCGATTTGCATATTGGCCTTTTATTCTATAGGATTATATAGGATACCTACCAAGGATCAGAGAGGAGAAGGCCGTGCCCAGGCTCACACAGCAAGTGCGTGGCAGGGCCGTTTCATGGCCCCTCCTCACCCAGGAGCCTCCCATTCCCCCAGAGAGTCAGACAGACCAAGGGATGATTTCCGGCTCTGCCCTTCCTGACCCCAGTCTTTACCTTCCTGGGTAAGGGTCACCCCTCACGGACTCCCGTCCACCTTATCCCTACCTAAACCGGAGGACTGAACGAGGCAATGCCAGGGGAGCCTGGGCCGGCCGCTGCCCTCCCCCGGCCCCGGCCCTGGCCCCGGCCCACCTTGACCTGGGCGTAGAAGCTGCCCAGGCTGCAGCAGACGCGGCACTCCAGCATGGTGTCGTCGTTGTTGTGGGCGTAGCGCAGGGCCTTCTCGAAGCTCTCCAGGGCCTTCTGGAAGAGGCTGAGGCCCAGGAAGGCGTTGCCCATGCTCAGGCTGACCTGGCCCCCGAGCTGGGCGCCCGCCCTGGTGCCCGGCAGGCCGAGGCAGGTCTTGCAGTAGGAGATGGTCTTGTGGAACTCGCACAGCTTCTCGTTGCTGCGCGCCAGGTTCAGGTAGCTCTCCAGCAGGAAGTCTGCGTCCTCCAGCTCCCGCGCTGTGTCGATCTGCACCACGGCAAACTGCCACAGGGGAGGGGGGAGGGGGGGCACTGGCCGTCAGTCTTCGCCCACCAAGCCTCACAGCCCGAAGCCTCGGAGCCAGAGCTGCCACGCCAACCCCAGGCACTCCCTGCTCCCCGCCACGGGCCACGGGCCACGGGCCACGGACTGGAGCCTCAGTCCTGAGCCTCCAGCTTTCAAGCGCAGACCCAGAGCCCCGCCTTTCCTGCCCCAGCCTGGATCTTCAGCCCCACCACCCACCCACTCAGCCCCAGCCTCAAACCTGGAGGAGCCAGCCCCCCCCCACAAACTCAGGCTCAAACCCCAACCAGGAAGACTGGGACCTAGACTCCTGGCTCGAGAGTCCCAACCCCTGCAGCTCAAAGCTGCAGGCCCAGACCCTAAGCCAAGACGCAGCATCTAAGACCCAGGCCTCCGATGTGGGTTCAGAGCCCCCCCCCCATCCTCGGCGGCTAGCTGTGGGGCACAGGGGGCCCTGAGGAGCCAGCTCTGCCCGCCCTCCTCGCCCCGCCAGGGCAGGGCGCGCCCACCTTCAGCATCTCCTTGTAGCGGCCCATCTCCGCATGGGCCGTGACCAGGCAGCCCAGCACGCGGAAGCGCCCCACCAGGTCCGAGCTTTTCTCCAGCAGCTTCGTCCACACCTGCAGCGCCTTCTCCGTCTGGTTGGACTGGTACAGCTGCAGCCCCTTCTCGATCTGCTGCTTGGTCTGGTCCTGCCCCATCCCCGGAGCCCCGCGCCCCTCCCGGGCTGACCTCGGCGGCTCCCTGCCTCTAGGCGCTCATGGCAGGGGGGACCCACCGTGCCCGCCAGCCGCCCTCCGGGCCCGGGCAGGAAAGCAGCTCCAGGCGGGAGCCGGGCAGGGCCCGATGGAGAACGGTGCCGCTCTGGGAACAAAGCTGGTCTGGCCCCGGCTGCAGCTGTCGCTGCCAGTTGGGGCCACGTGGCCGCTGAGGAATGTCAGCCGCAAGGTCACGCGGGCTTCGGTGGCCCCCGCCCCCAAGTGGGGAGGTGGCTTCCCAGGGATACGGGCACCTGCCCCCCCCCCCGGGGGGCAGCCCCGGGGTGTCTCTCTGGCGCCTCGGACACTGGCCCTGACCGCCCGGCGGGCAGGCCCTCCTGCAGCCTCGCCAGGAGCCGCCTCAGGGAGCGGGGAGGACGCAGGAGTGAGCCTGGGCACAGCCTCCCCCAGGGTTTGCTCCTGTGGTCTCTCCCGGGCACCAAGATCTCATACCCACATGAACCTGCCCACACCACGCCCAACATCTAGCCCCAGCCCAGCCGCCGACCTCTCTGGGCCTCCGTACCCTCCTCTGGAACGTGAGGGGAGCCAGCGGTTTCCAGGCAGCAGAGGCGTGGGGGACAGCGCGGGGCCGGGAGCCGGCTGCCAGGCTGGATCCTGCCGGCCACTGATGAGCTGTGTGGGCAGCGTGACCCCGGCAGGAGAGATGGCGGCCCTGCAGCCGGGCTGTGAGTGAGTGGCGGGCCAGCTGACCGGGACTCGGGACAGTGCCTGCCACGCGGGAAGCGCTCCGGTGTCCACAGGCGAGAGGCCATCCCAGCCGTGTCTGCTCCACCGCAGACTGCCCTCCAGGGACAGAGCTGACCCGGGGAGGTTTATTTTATTCATTTTTTAAAAAATATATTGATTTTTTTTTTTTACAGAGAGGAAGGAAGAGGGATAGAGAGCTAGAAACATCAATGAGAGAGAATCATTGATCGGCTGCCTCCTGCACACCCCCTACTGGGGATGTGCCAGCAACCAAGGCACATGCCCTTGACCGGAATCAAACCCAGGACCTTTCAGTCCGCAGGCCGACGCTCTATTCACTGAGCCAAACCGGTTAGGGCTGGTTCAACTTTTGAGGAACCACCAACCTGCTTGCCCCAGGCCCTTTGCTCCTCTTGATCCCTTTCCTCCTCTCACCCCTGGCAGCCCAGTTAGGGTGAACCAAGTTATCATCCTGTCAGAGAACTATATTCCATCCTGATAAAGAGTTTTCTCTCGCCGAAACCGGGTTGGCTCAGTGGATAGAGCGTTGGCCTGCGGACTGAAAGGTCCTGGGTTCGATTCCGGTCAAGGGCATGTGCCTTGGTTGCTGGCACATCGATGATCCTCTCTCATTGATGTTTCTAACTCTCTATCCCTCTCTCTAAAAAATCAATAAAATATATTTTTTTAAAAAAAGAAAAATTGGAATGGTATTTGAAACCCTTGTTTTTTTTTTAAAAAAAGTTATCTCTGTAGTTTTATATTCATCAGTGAGGTTATCTGCTTAATGTCTGCTTCCCCCACTCAAATGTGTGGGTAGGAACATCGTCTCATTCATCACCGACTGTGTCTTCTGAGCAAGACCTGACAGTGGTCACTCAATTAACACAGTGAAGGAAGGAATGGTGAGAAGGGAGAGGAATGGGATGTAAAGCAGCTGCTGCAGGCTCCGTAGCTGACCTGCCACGCTTTGCTCCATCACAGACAGAGATGACCCCACTTACTGCAAGCACAGTGGGTCCAGGGAGGGGCAGTCTGGGAGTGGGGGCACGGCCAGCTCGGGGCTCCATGCCGCAGGGCCGGGGCTCAGCAGAGGGGTGGAGGGCAGCGGAGCAGGCCCAGGGACTGGGCAAGGCCACGGGCACTCTCCAAGGGGGAACTGCACTTGCCCCGGCCCACAGGAAGTGGGGGCAGCAGGGAGCTTCTGGCAGGGGAGGTAGCTGGGATCTTTCCCTCATCTGGAAAGGGACCCCTGGGTTGAAGTGAACCCCAGAGGAGAAGCTGGGCTCAGAGGGAAGGAGCTGAAGAGGGAGCAGATCTCCCCATCCCCCCGCCACTTGGTGCTCCAGAGGCCAGTGCACCCTGAGCCTTTAGCGGGAAGGGAAGGAGGTGGCAGCCACAGCTGCACCCCAAAGCAGTTAGGGACCCCAGCCTTCCGGGCGCCTGGGAACTCCGATGATTTCAAAACTTGAAAACTTGACCCACGAAAGACTTCCTCTGCCCCAGGGTCAGCTTTTTGCTGACGGCTGTGCAGGGGGAGGTCAGGGTCATGTGCAGCCCCAACCCCCCTCACAGCCCCTGGTGGAGAGAGGCGGCCAGCGGAGGAATAACTGCTCACTCGCCCTCACCTAAGCTTTTCCTCCAGGTTACAGATCGGGACACGAGGCACAGGCGGTAAGGTGACCTGCCCAAGCCCACACTGCCACCCAGCGAAAGAGACCAGACCCCAGGACGCGTGTCTTTTGAGGTCCCCTCTGAACCTTGCTGACCCAGAGAGGTGAGGGAGAAGGAGATGTGAAGGGGAGTTGGACACCTTTTCTGGGAATCAGAGATCGTTCCCTGACCTGTGAGTCCATGCTCTGGCCAGGGTGGGCCGAAAGCGTGCACACAAAGGCACTACGGCGAGGTGCCAGCCGACCTGGCTCCCCGGGCCCAGCAGGGAAGGTGGCCAAGAGGCTCCGGAAGTCGGAAGTCGAGAGGATGAGCCACAGGATAACCTGGTTTTCCCGGCCAGGGCGGTGGCACGGCCCGGCGTTGGGGTAGCTGCTGTGTCAGGTACCAATGCCATGCCTCACTTTTTTTCTTTTTTTCTTTTTTTAAATAAATGAGCCTTTTACTTTTTTTTTCTTCTTTTTTAAATATATTTTATTGATTTTTTTACAGAGAGGAAGGGAAAGGGATAGAGAGTTAGAAACATCGATGAGAGACATCGATCAGCTGCCTCCTGCACATCACCCACTGGGGATGTGCCTGCAACCAAGGTACATGCCCTTGACCGGAATCGAACCTGGGACCCTTCAGTCCGCAGGCCGACGCTCTGTCCACTGAGCCAAACCGGTTTTGGCCACACTCACATTTATAATCAAAAGTAGAAAATGAAGTTTGGGCCTGGGCAGGGTCCACAATCCGGCACGCGAGGGCAGGTTTCTGAGTTGGCCACGTGTGTGTCTGGGAGATTTGAGAGAGAAATCTGCATTCTCTGCGTCTCTTGGAGACGGAGCTTGAGAAACTGGACTTGTGACTGTGTCCATCAGTCACGTAGTCGCTGACCAAGAATGTCTCTCACCCATAACCCCAGCTGCTCCCTCTGCTCACCCTGACACTGAGGCCAGGGGTCCCCCATTCTCACCCTGACACTGAGGCCAGGGGTCCCCTATGCTCACCCTGACACTGAGGCCAGGGGTCCCCTATGCTCACCCTGACACTGAGGCCGGTGTCACCTGTCATCTTAGATTGGCCGTTCCCACACCTGCGTCTCCTGCCTGGCCCGCACACTCCTGCATTTGCAGCTCTGCTCCAGAAGCACAGCACATGTCACTGGAGGGGATGGTCTGGGCCCCTCCGCCACAATGGGCAGGATCCTTGGGAAGCTTGTCGCTCTCCACAAATGTGCTTCCCAGGTCGTAAAGGGGCATCACCTCTCCGGGAAGGTTTCTGGGAAAAGCAGCAGAAGAGATCGAGTAAGAAGTTGCTTTGAAAACCAGGCATTGAATCAATGCCCCTGATGAGCCGCCTGAACCTCCTTTGGATGGGCCCTGACTGTGTGTAGCTGCGAACACACGGGCACTAGCCAGTCCCACAGGAGCTCGGAGAAGCCGGGGTGCTCCACAGCCTCTCCCAGTGGGAGCTGCTGGCGCTGGTGCAGGCACCCAGATGGAAGGTGCCTGGGACGGAGCAACTGAGAAAACTCAAGCTGCAGAACATTCTGTACGTGATGGCATGATCTCCTTTTCATGAACAAAATCACATATGTACATATTTTTGTATATAGAGAGAAAAATTCTGGAAGCATACTTATTCCATCTGTTTATCAATGGGCTGTGGGATGGGAAAACACTTTAAAAAAAAATCCTCACCCAAGTATATTTTTCCAATGCTTTTCAGAGAGTGGAAGGGAGGTAGGAAAGGGGGGGGGAGGAGGAGAAAGAGAGAAAGAGAGAGAAAGACAGAGAAAAATCATTGATGTGAGACACATGGACTGGTTGCCCCCTGCTCATGCCCTGACCGAAGGCAGGAGCGAACCTGCAACCCAGGGACCTGCCTTTGACTGGGAATGGAACCCGAGACACTCTAACCACTGGGCACACCAGCCTGGGTAGGGAAACACTTTTAACTTACATGTGCGTAGGGTTGTTAGCAGCGTGGCTGAGCATTTGTCAAGCGTTTGGGACATTCTCTCCTCTTCCCAACCCCATGGCGCAGGTATTTTCACTGCCATTGAGTGAACTGGAATTCTGAGCCGGAGAATCAAGTCACCTGGCTGAGGTCACACAGCCGGTGTTACACCCGAGACTCCCCACAAGCTTTCCCCACCACACTCCAGGCCGCCCACCGAGGCCGACGCTCCACCACTGAGCCATGCCAGCCGGTGTTGTGTTCTTAAAAGCAGAGTGTATTGGAATGTTTTGCAATAAAAAAAAAAAAAATCCTAAAATTACTTTTGAAAAAGGCCGGTGTGTAGAATAAGCCTCAGGCTCGGGCTCCACAGCAGGGATGAGCAGGGCGGTGGCACTCAGGGCGGGAGGTAGGTGCTCCCTCCTCCCTCCTCTGCCGGCTGGCAGCACGGGCCCCTGCAGAGCGGGTGCGGGCCCCGCCCCACATCCTCAGGAACTGGCCGGGGAGGCACTGCCTCAGAGGCTGTGTTCCCAGGATCTCTAACGGACTAGCTGCCATCTGTCTCCCGGGCACCGAGGGCCTTCGAAGACTCTGGGTACCAGCTGGTGGCTCATCTG